TCTCTCTCTCTCTCTCTCTCTCTCTCTCTCTCTCCCTCTCTCTCTCTCTCTCTCTCTCCCTCTCTCTCTCTTCTCTCTCTCTCTCTCTCCTTGTATGCACATAATTATTTGCATATTGTCTCTTCCATTAGAATGTGAGTTCCTTGAAGGCAGGGACTGTATTTTACCTTCCTTTGTTATCCCAAAGTGGCAAGTCAAGTCAAGAAGCTTTTATTAAGGGCCAGGTACTATGCTAAATGCTTGCGGATACAAAGAAAGGCAAAAAAAAAAAAGAAAAGGGTCCTTGCTCCCAAGGAATTCATCATCTAGGCAGGGAGACAACTAGGTACAAACAAATATATACATACATACATACATACACACACACACACACACATATGCATGTATAGGATAAATGAGAGATAATCTCAGGGGGGAGGCACCAGTATTTATCATAAGTAAAGGCTTCATGCAGAACCCTTTATATGACACCTAAAGGAAGCCAGAGAAGCCCAGCGGCAGAGATAAGGAGAGCATTGCAGGCTCAGGAGATAGCCAGTGAAAATGCTTGGAATTGCAAGATAGAGAGTCTTGGTTAAGGAACACCAAGTGGGCCAATGTCACTGGATCTTAATACGAGAAAGAGAGTGAGGTATAAAAAGATTGGAAAGGGGTGTGGGGGGGTGTTGAACACCAGATGATTTTGTACTTGATCCTAAAGGTGATAGGGAGCCACTGGAGTGGATTAACACGATGTGCTTTAGGAAGATCACTTTGGTGGCTGCAGGGAGGGTATCCTGGAGTGGGCAGACTGGAGGCAGGAAGACCTACCATCAGTTTATTGCAATAATCAGGCGTGAGGTAATGCAGGTCTGCACTGGAGTGGTGGTGGTGTCAGAGGAGAGAAGGGGACATAGACCAGAGATATTGCAAAGGTGAAATTGATAGGCCTCTGCCACAGAATGGATATGCAGGTAAGAGATAATGAGGAATCCAGATGACACCTAGGATGTAAGCCTGAAGGACTGTGAGGATGGTGGTGCCTTCAACAATAATAGGGATAGGAAGAGAGAGGTTTTGGAAGGAAAGACAATGAGCTTAGTTTTGGACACATTGAGCACACAGTAAATGGTTAATAAATGCTTATTGTAGATGATGATATAGCCATTACTAGTTCTAGAGAATCTTACTCCCATTAAGAGTGCAATACTTTTGCTCAGGCTTAGCCATACTAGTGGAAAGCTTTTTTGAGAAATCCCAGGCAGAGCTAACTTCTAAATTCTCCTGAGCCTAGCTGAGAGGGGCACTTGTGGGTCAAGAGAACAGGCTGACTCTTCACCTTGCCCCTCTCAAATTCCATTCTAGGGACAGGACTGTTGTTATGTTCCCTGGCAGCTGTGCAACCATTCATAGTAAATCATTTACCTGTTGGCAGCTAAAAGAGATTTCTCAACCAAGCAGTGCAGCCTTGGATCAACAGAGGCAGTGTGCTATAGTAGAAAGAGTACTGTCCTATAGGCAGCCGTGCGCTGGTAAATGTTTAACAATTGGCTTTCAAGAGAAAAAACAAAAAACACAAAATATGCTTTTCATTTTATCTGAATGATTAATATTTTCTCCATCACGTTCTTAAGTTTAGACAACAAAGCAATAAATCAAGTCCTGATTTGTAGCACTTGGTGATTTCCAAGGTCTAAATGCTCACACTGAATTTTTTTTTAATTTTTAAATAGAATTTTAAAAATTCTACATAAATTTATTTTCAGTTTTGAATTCTCTCCTTTCCCCACCATCCTCCTCCACCCAATGAAAAGGCAAGAAAAACAAAAATCATTACAAATACATACAGACATACAAAATAAATTTCCAAATTAATCATGTGCACACTGAAAATTTAACAATCTGCTCTCAAGACCCAGTTCAAACTAGCTCCAACACATCCCTGCCAGTAGGTCCACTGATCTCAAGCACCAACCAGAATGTAAGCTCCTTTATTTTTGGTGGGGGGGGGCTAGGCAATGGGATTAAGTGACTTGCCCAGTGTCACACAGCTAGTAAGTGTCAAGTGTCTGAGGCCAGATTTGAACTCAGGTCCTCCTGACACTAGGGCTAGGCTCTATCCACTTTGCCACCCAGCTGCCCCAGAATGTCAGCTCCTTGAGGGCAAGGATTGGCTTTCTTTTTGCATGTATTTGGATTCTCGGTGTTTAGTACAGTGCCCGGCACTTGCTGACTTGACTCCCAGCTCTGTCAAGGACTAGCCATCTACCCTTCTGTAAATCACGTTAGCTCAATGAGCCTGTTTCCTTATCCATAAAACAAGTTATAAGGACTAGATGATCTCTATCCTTTCCAGCTCTGATGCTCCATGATCCCAAGTTTATTCCCCCCACGCGATTCAAACATGTGCAGTCCTGGTTTCTTCCACCAGGGGGAACCTAGAAGGAAAGCCCTGGCAGAAGCCTTGGAAGAGTCACAACCCCCCCAGAGATTCAGAAGCAAGGCGACCTTGAATTGGAGGTTGGTGATAATAGGCAAGGGAAGAACCGCCAAAACAGCTCCACCTGCTTGTCCTGCCAACCATAATGATGTGTGTGCCGAGCCGGGACAGCTTTGAGGGTAAAGTCAGCTAAAGCGCTCCTTTTGTTTGAAAGAGTGCTTCAGCCAAGGGGGCTTCTTCCGCCATCTAACAGATCCCTATCTGGTTTGGGCTTGATTTGATTAATGAAAGTCAACGGTATCTGCTCGCCAGGACTAGCTGCCCCGCTGGGGAAATGTCATTTTTTGTTTCCCACTCCCCTTTTCTTCTTTTCAAAGCGTCAATGAGTTTTGCACAATCTACATATTCATTGTGTTCCATCTCTGACTCCAGGGCATCTAGCTGCCAGTGCATAGATTACGGGGCCTGGAGTCAGGAAGACTCACCTTGATGAGTTCAAAACTGGCCTCAGACACTCACTAGCTGCATGACCCTGGGCTAGTCACTGAAACCTACTTGCCTCAGTTCCTTATCTGTAAGATGAGCAGGAAATGGCAAACTACTCCAGTCAATTTGCCAAGACAACCTCTGAATGGGGTCACAGAGTGAGATATGACTGCAAAGGACTGAACAACAACCTCTGCCTGCTCTTTGGAATCTAACAATCCCTTTAGCCCTTTATCACTGTTTCTTCCCTTCCGCGTGCCTCAGATTTCAGTCCATCAGACTAAGGCGTTCTAATGATGTTAAAAGTCATCTTGGCTATTCAAAACTCTTTTCATTCCAGCTCTTCAACTGGGCACGCTTACATGTCCAGGGCTGTGCTAGATGGGAGGAGATGGTGGGGAAAGAGAAGCAAAAGACAGAGTGCCTGGGTGACCTTAAAGAACTTACAAATATCATCCCACTCATCCCTACACCTTGCCATTTATGAAGCAGGCAATTCTGAGGATCTTTTGTTTCGGCATTTGGCATTTGGGTGGCATTAAGCACTTTGCAATTATCACCTCATTTGATTCTCACAACTACCTTGGGAGATAGGTGCTATTACTATCCCTATTTTACAGATGAGGAAACTGAGGCAGGCAAAAGTTAAGTGACTTGTCCAGGTCACACAACTAGTTAGTAGTAGTATCTTGAGACTGGATTTGTACTCAGGTCTTCCTGACATCAGACTCAGTACTCTATTCATTGTATCACCTAGCTGTATTGCTGATTGAGGATTTGCACTAGCTGATCTCCCATGTCTGGAGCTCCATTAGATCATAAGCTTCTTGAGGGCAGGAACTGTCTTTTGTCTCTTTTTGTATCCCTAGTGCTTAGCACAGTAACTAGCACGTATGCACTTACTGAATTATTGAACTGAACTCTCTCCCTCCTCACCTCTGCCTCCTGGCTCCCCTGACTCCTCAGCTAAAGTCCCACCATCTGCAGGAACATGTTTCCAACCTTCCTTAATCTTAATGCCTTCCCTTTAAGATTATCCCCAATTTATCCTGTATTCGCCCTATTTGCACATAATTGTTTTCATGTTGTCTTCCTCCTTAGACTGTGATCCTTGAGAGCAGGAACTGTTTTTTGCCTTTTTTTTTTTTTTGTAACCTCATTTCTTAGCACAGTGTCTGCACAGCCCGGCACATAGTAGATGCTTAATAAATGCTAGGTGACTGCTTTACTGACCTTGGCAAGCTACTCAACCTCTTAATGCCTCAGGCTATTCTCTAAGTCTATAAATTACAAATGAATTCCCATACATGTTGTTTGCCTTCCAACAGAGGGTAAGCTCCTTGAGGGCAAGGACTGTTTTATCTAGTCTTTGTATCTCAGTGAATAACATAAAGCTTGGTACATGGTAACACTTAATGAGTGCTTGTTAAACTATATATGATTTTATATATGCGTGCACATATATACACGTATATGTATAGGCATATATATACATACACATGTGTACATATACATGTGTATGTGTGTGTGTGTGTGTGTAGAATGATCTGCAGAGTTCAGGGATTCTATAGATCCATAATGGGTTGATGGATAGATTTTAGGGGGCTGATTAACTTGTATGGGAAAAAAATAATTACATTTTTATTTCCATTAATCATTGGTTTTCTTTGTAACCCTTTATATTTTTTCATTTAAAAACAGTCTTCTGAGAAGGGGTCAACAAAAAAGTTAAGAACCCTTGGCATGACTGGAGGGTTACACAGATGAAATCAGAAGTCTAGACTCTCTTCCATTCTCTTCCACCCACCTCAAATAACCACCAAATTCTTGAATCAAAGATAATAGATATTAATCTTTGTACTATTTTGGATACACTTTGCACACCACAAATAACCTGTCAGTGCTCACAGAACCTCCACGATGTAAACTCTTTCTCTTCCCAAGCCTCTAGACATAACTGCCATTCCTTTTCCTTAGTTCTCATCACCCCAGCTGGGTCAAGTTGGGCTCACCCTGTCTGGAAAGGCAGCTGGTTGAGCTCTGTTTGGATGAATCCAACCCTGACTGCAGAAGTTAATTCCAAGCACTGGTTTGGCCTCCCTTTAGACAGCGTTACTCTGACTGAGCCCCTGCCAAGTAGGTGGCTCTTCATCAATGACATCATCATGCCCTATCTTCTCCAGCTGACACAGTTTAGTTTCTTCTCATCCCTGACATCTCTTTCTCCAGAATCCATTCCGGCTGGCCTCGGCTCTGATGGCCTGTGTCCATTCCAGCAGCACTGCTTCAGTCTGAGAACAGGGTGAAGAGGCGTAAGATTCCAAGGGCATGAGGTGGTGGGTGTGGGGACTGATTCTCCAATGTCTTTGTGCCTGAGCAGCTAGTCCTAAAATGCCCCCCACAAAGGTGCTAGATTTGAAGTCAGATGACCTGGATTCAGTTGCTAGCCCTGTCACTTGCTACCATGTTACACTGGGTAAGTTACTTCCCCTCAAAGGGTCTCAGTTTCCTCATCTGTAAAATGAGGAGGCTGGATTAGGGGTACTCTCTGAGCTCTCTTCCAAGACAGTATGGTGGAAAGACCTTTGCGAAGTCAGAGGGTCCCGGGTTCCAATACCACCTCTTATATTTACTAACGGTGTATCCCTGGGCAAGGGTGGCTAGGTAGCTCAGTGGATAGAGTGCTGGGCCTAGACTCAGGAAGATCTGAGTTTAGAGCTGACTGTGTGACCCAGGGCAAGTCACTCAACCCTGTTTGCCTCAGTTTCTTCCTCTGGAAAATGAGCTGGAGAAGGAAATGTCAAATTGCTCCAGTATCTTTGCCAAGTAAACCTGAAATGGAGTCATGAAGAATTGGACACAACTAAATAACAACCCTGGGTAGGTCATTTAACTTTCCTGGGCTTGGGGTAGCTAGGTGGCACAGTGGATAGAGCCCCAGCCCTGGATTCAGGAGGACCTGAGTTCAAATCTGGCCTCAGACACATAACACTTACTAGCTGTGTGACCCTGGGCAAGTCACTTAACCCCCACTGTCCAGTCAAAAAAAAAAAACAACAAACAACTTTCCTGGGCTTCAGTTCCCTCCTCGTAAAATGAGAGTTGGACTAGGTAGGTAGGCTCTTTGGTCTCTCCCAGATTTATATCCTCAACACCTCGAGTCTAAGTGTCTCTCTGTGTCCATTTTCTTGCTCTTACCCTCCACCCCCACTTCATCCTTTTCTAGCCAGACCACAATTGGGTCCAATTTCTTCAGGCTGAGGACCCTGGCAAACAGTTCTGGCGTGGGGGCTGTTGAGAGTCTTCCCCTTTGCTGGATAGCCTTACATGATCTCCAGAGGACACTTTGGGGGAGTCCTGAAGAAAATCTGCTGGAATGCCTTTTCTCTGCTCCAGTCCTTATATGGAACAATCCACTGAGCTTCTGCTGACTGTAACTCAAGCCAGCTGATTCACCAGCTGTCTCTCCCTAAGCTGATGCTGCCCACTCCAGTTCCCGCTCAGCATGTGGACCCACAACAAAAGGTTAAGCCCATGAAATCCCTGACTTTGGGGGAACGTCGGGAGCCTACAGTTCTGCCTTCACATCGCTCTTTGCCGGCAATCCTGCTAGGGTTTACTAGAATGTCTAAGGCTTTCTTCTTCTGGCGGTGGGGGTGGGCAGGGGGAGGAGAGACCAGAGGAGGAACAGTGGCTAAGCGTACCCAGAGTAACTGCACATGACTCTGTGCCTCCCTCCCACCCTCTCCCTGGTCAGAGTCCAAGGCTCAGGGACCTCAGCTGTGTTCTTTTAACTTTGTCTCCCTGTTCTCCTCTGACCAACCTCCCCCTTCACTTTCGTTTTCATGTTGACCTGTCCCATCTGCATCTTCTCCCTCTTTGGACCTAAATTAGACTTCGAGCCTTGGAAGGGACCTTAGAGGAGGGCACCACACTCAAACAGAAGCCATATCTGAGGTTCCCTTCGGGCCACTTACAGAATTAGTTTTAAAATGTAATGTTACTTATATTTTACTGTATTTTGATTTATCTTGTTAACTTTTTCCCAAACACATTTTAATCTGGTTCAGCTACGCTCAGGCCACATTCTTAGGCCGCGTGTTTGACATCTCTGTGTTAGAGGTCATTTCCTACACCCCCCTCTTTTTATAGATAAGGTTTAGAAATGCTGCCTGACTTGCCCATGGTCACACAGGGAGTAAGTAGCAGAGACAGCATCTGGACGCAGGACTGAGAGCTAGAAGGATCTTAAAGGCTAACTAGATAGAATACCAGACCTAGAATCAGTATAGACCTGAGTGTAAGCTCAGCTTCAGATACTTACTGATTGTATGACCCTGGGCAACTGACTTAACCTCTGTTTGTCTCAATTTCTTCAACCATAAAATGGGGATAATAACAGCACCTACTTCCTAGGGTTGTTGTGAGTCAGGAGAGACCTGAGTTGTGACCTTGGGCAAGTTACTTACCCTCTGTTTGTCTTAGTTTTCTCAATTGTAAAAGGGGGATAACACCCTCAGGGGTATTGTGAGTCAAGATAGACCTAAGTTCAAATCCAACCTCAGGCACTTACTAGCTGTGTGACCCTGGGGCAAGTCACTGAACCGCTGTTTGCCTCAGTTTCCCCATCTGTAAAATGGGGATAATAATAGCACCTACCTCCAGGGGTTATTGTAAGGATCAAATGAGATAACTGTAAAGTGCTTAGCATAGTGCCTGCCACATAATAAGTAAGTGCTATATAAATGTTAGCTATAATTATTAATTATTTTACAGTTAAAAATGCCAAGATCAGAGAGGGTAAATGACTTATCCAAGGTCATGCAACTTGTATGTATCATAGCTAGGACTGAACTCAGGTCCTTTCCACTCCACAGCTGACTCTCTTTGCATAGCACTACCCTGCCCTCTGGCTTCAAAACCAACACTCTTTGCACCACAACAAACAGAAAACTGAACTAGGGAGTCATTAGGTTTGAGGCGTGACTGTCGAAGCCAGAGATTCCTAGCATTATAGGCTCAGAGCTGAAAGAACCATGACAAAGATCTTCTGGTCCAACCTCTTCATTTTATAGAGGACCCAGAGAGGGGAACAGGGTCACACAGGTTTCTAAGAAACTGAATTGGGAATGGAAGCCCAGTCCTCTGACGGCAAAGCTGGTGCTCTTTCCTCTATACCACATAGTATTCAACATTTTCAACTGAATTCAATAAGCATTTATTAAGCAAGGAACTGGGCTAGGCACAAGATAAAAAGATGCCATTGACCTCAGGAAACTTAGACTCTAACAAGGAGGAACAGGGCAGGGCTGGCAGTAAACATACAGAAATCACTAGTTGAGATCAAATGGTGGCCTGAGAGATTGAAAAAGGAAGGGAAGAATAACTTCCAGAAACCAGGAAGGTATCCTGGGAAAGGTGGCCCTTGAACTGGGGGCATTAAAAGAGAAGGAAGATTCTAATAGGGAGAAATGGAAGGGAGCCTGGGGATGCAGTCACAGATACCCAGAAGTAGGAGAGGTCAAGATAAAATCAAAGAGCCCCTGAAGGAGAGTATGACAAAATAAGGTTGAAAAGGTAGCCCAGAGGTGGAAGGCCTTAAATGCCAGCCAGAAGAGTTTGTGTTTTATTCTACAGACAATAGGGAGCCACTGAAGCTTTTTGAGCAGGCAGGTGTCATTGTCAGGCTTATTAGGAAGATTACTTTGGCAACAATGTGAAGGATGGATGGGTCTACAGAAAAGACCAGAGGAAAGGTATCAGTTGTTAAGGCAACTAGGGAACAAAGTGCATAGAGTGCTAGACCTGTGGTCAGAAAGACCTGAGTTCAAATCTTGCCTCAGATACCAGTTATGTGACCCTGGGCCAATCACTTGACCTCTGTTTGCCTCAGTTCCCTCATCTATAAAGTAGGTATAATAACAGTAGATAATAACAGTATCTACCTTCTAAAGTCGTTATAAGGATAAAATGAGATATTTGTAAAGTGCTTTGCCAACTTTAAATTACTCTACAAGTGCTAGCTTGAATGTGTAGCTGAAAGATGGTGAGGACCACAACTTGGGTGATAGGAATGGGGTAGAAAAAAAGAAATCAGATTTCAGAAATATTTTCAAGGTAGAATTTTGCAGGACTAGACCCTTGATTGAATGTGAGGGAGAGGGATGAGACAAGGATGATTCCAAGGTTTTCAAACCTGGATGATGATATTTCTAGGACAAATGTATTTATTTTAATCTTATTTTTATTGATATCCTTTCTTTTTACATCGCCTTCATTTTTGAATCTATTCCTAGACTTCTTACCTATTGAGCCATCCCTTATAACAAGAATTTTTTTAAAAAGGAAAAAAAAATCAATGCAGTAAACCCAATCAATACATCAATCATTTGACAATATATAAAATATTCCACATCCATAGCCATCTACCCATGCAAAGAGGAGAGGCAGATACATTTTCTCTCCTCCTTTGGCACCAAGTTTGGTCACTATAATTACAGAGTCTACAGTTTCTTGGTTCCTTTCATTTATATTACGGGGATCAGTATCTCTCTCTCTCTCTCTATATATATATATAGATAGATAGATAGATAGATCTATATATATATATATATATATCACTACATCTATACACATATACATATACATATATATCTATATATAGTTTTCCTGGTTTTGCTCCTACTCTCTGCATTGGTTCATATAAGTCAGAGGACCATAGATTTAGAACTGGAAGGGATGTTGAAGGTAATTGAGTCCATTTTACAGATTAGAAAACTGAGGCCCAGAGAGATTAAGTGACTTGTCTGGGGTCATGCAGCTAATAAGTATCTAAGGCAGGATTTGGATCTAGGCTTTCCTGACTCCAAGTCCAGTGCTTTATCCACTATAATATGGCACCTTTGTTGAGTTTTGGATGCCAGTAGAAAACCAGATGAAGAAGCTGGTAGGCATTTGGGAATGCGGGATTGGAATTTAGAGGAGAAATGGGGCTGAAGCATGGAGATTGGAGAATCATCTACATAGAGCTGATAGACAAAACCTCAGGATTAGATCAGCTTGGCCAGAAAGTGAACACAAAGACTAGAATCACAGAATTAGAGTTGGAAGGGACCTTAGAGGTCATCCAACCTACTCTCCCCCCTCCCCCGTTTTACATGTAAGGAAACTGAGGCCCAAATAGGTTAACTGATTTTTTCCCAAGGTCACACAGGTAGCAGAGTCATAATTCTGGCACATCCCAGGTCTTCCGGCTTCATGTTTAGTGCTTTTCCCACTATATCATACCCATCACTGCCATTATCACTACTAAAATAATGATTGCGATCCATATCCTGGTGGAGGTCCTTATTACCAGATCATGCACTAAAGCTCAGGAGTATCCCAACTTCTCGCCCAAGGCAATTGGATTAGAAGATACCATTGAATGACTGTTGCTTTAATTCCTCACACAAAGTCGCCCTCCAGTAACACCGT